TTTGCACAAAAATAGATCATCTCTATCCAGGTGTGAACTTCATCTTTCTCTTTAGTTACTTTTACTCTTTGAACATAATATTTCTCGAGTGGATTTATCTTCAGTAACAACATAAATTCTTAGGCTTGAATTGTATTTTTTAAGATTCATTTAAGGAACATGGATAATTTAAATAGATTTTAAACTTTCGCTTTCTTTTTAAATCCTGGACCTAATGAAATTAAACTTGGAGAAATATTCAAAAATCTGGGACGAAAATAAATATGCACGACTGCGGACATAGCAAGCTGAACATTGCATTAGGTCCTAAGTAACATTGATCGATTCTCTTCGTCGACTTTCGACGTTAAGAACTTGAGCACATAACCGTTTCTTGTTGTGATTGTCGTATTAGATTGTAGATAAAAGCTTCTTTTATCGATGTGTGCTGAAAATACCTGGGAATGTCTTTACATGGCCGTGGGGATACAAAGAGAAAGTCGATGAAGAGACTCTGTCAATGTTACTTAGGACCTAATCTCGGACCTAATGCCGTGTTCAGCTTGATAGAACAAATTCCAAAACCCCGGATTTAAAATGAATTAAGAGCCTCGCAAAAGTTAAAAAAAAAGTTTATGGACCTCAAGGACTAAATTTGATGAGAATTTTCAAGGATCTCTAATGAATAATTTCAAGGGAGAACATCAAAATATGAATTTGGCTAAATTTGAGGATTCCTTTCGAATTAGTTCCGAGGAACTCCAGATTCAAGGTGACACGTAAAGAGAGTTCCAAAGTAGTTCGGTAGTTTTGAGTAGGATTCAAAAGTACATTTACAGGAGATTTTCGTGGAGCATTCATTCCAAGGCAATTCCGCAGAGAATATAATATTTTGTTAGAAAGATACTGAACTTGCAGCTCGGCAAAATCCAGCAATATTTTGCTGGCTAACGGCAATAAAAAATTGGTGTGTATGTACATTTTATTCTAAAGCTGTTCAGTAGCGATTTTAGATTTGATGCGAGAGTTTAAAAACCACGTATAATTCCTTCCCCTCACAATGATTCCAAACGTCACCAAGCATAGATTCTGACACTGCAGAAAGATAGCATACGAGCATATCAACCATATCAACAGCCGAACGCATACTTTTATGCAGCATCTCAGTACAAACACAAAATGCAAACAGCTCGTATACAAGCGCCCATGGCACTTATCAGTTTGCTATATGTATATGCCAATGGTGCGATGCGCTGGTAGTTGAACCGGGTGGATGGCTTTGTACGATTTGTATCCTTCCCTGGCAAGAATGTTCCGCACCGTTTGAAAGTTGGCATTGTACTTTCTGGCCACATTCGGATCGAAAGACCGGGGTTGGTTTTAACGCACCTCAACACCTTGCTGAGCAGCTGACGATCCCTGGTTCCAGTTATTTCGTGGGTCCGCTGATTCCTTTCCACTCTCAGGGGTTCCTTGCAGGTTTTGAGCACTCGACAAACTGTTGTTTTCGGCATCTTCAGCACTTTAGCCAGCTTGGAACCGGACCACTCCAGATTTTCCAGATGTTAGTGCACAATATTTTTTCTTCTTTCGAGTTCCATTTGACGTAATTTCTGACCGCGATCGACTACTTTGATCAAAATTGCACCGGTTGTTCTCTATAGAAGTGTAAACAAACCACTGCCAAAGATTTTCGATTCCCAACACTAGAGGCGTGCTAGCGGCGCGCGAGGGGCGCACCAATTTACTTTTAGTCAGCCATTAGGTGCACGAATCAAGAAGACCAAGGCTGCTTCTGCGAGTTTACGAAATCTATGGAGATCTATGGACATGGGATGTATCAGCATAGAATACTCAAAAGCTGCAGGTCTTTATCAACGGTATATAAGTCTTACCTGGTGGCCTCACAACTGGAGCTCCTATGCTGAGCTCCTTCGTCGATGTCATCAGAAACCGAAATGAACAGAAATTTGAGATAGTAGGTTGAGGTGGGTTGACCACACAATACGAAGGGGCGGAAACGAAATCTGTAAGCAAGCACTAGATTGGAACCCGGCAGAACATTGCAGCAGAGGCAGACCCAGGGGCTCATGGTGGCGGACCCTCAACAAGAAAACATAGGAAGTCTACAGGAGTCCGACCCGGGCCCAGGTCAAGGCAAAAGTGAGCAGCCACCCAGGATGGAAATCCCTCACGTTGGCCTTATGCACCTCTAGGGGTGTTCAGCATACATGAGTGAGATCCCTGCTTCGCTTAATTATTTATTATATGTGTACATTAGACTGATGCAAAATTTGACTTTTTCGCTCCACAGTGCTTAAATGGTTTCAAATCGGGTCCTGATTAGCCTCCCAAAGCTACAACTCATTTGGTTGGAAACAGACTTCGCACAAGCCATTTGAAGTTTACATGTAAATTACTATGTGGGAAATCTCAACTTTTTGTTCATTACCTTCTAGTCTTTTTCCATATCGAGCTGCGAAACAGTTCGATAGCCATTATTTAAGAAAATTTTCTCAGCTACAACTTTGCTGAAGATCGTTTCTATGTAAAACGAGACAGGAAAAAGTTTTTAATTATTTAAGAGATTGGTAAACTTATGACATGATCAAGCAGCTGCTCTGTAGGCAACACTGTATTTTGCAGTGTGACATAGTAGCCATGATTTTTGTGTCCTATTCAACGCCCCATAAACATCAATGTTGCCTGCTGAGCAGTTGATTGAGCATGATCATTAGACATCAACGCATTGAACCATTGATAACTTTTGATCCTTGCAAAGTTGTTGCAAAGTTGTAGCTGGAAAAATTTCTTACAAGTACAGTTGAAAGCTTTTGAAGCAGACCGATATGGTGAATTATTAGATAGACATGAACAAAAATCTTGTTTTTACCATAGTAATTCCCATACAAACTTCAAATGGTTTGTGCCATCTCAGTTTCTCACCAAAGGGGTTCAAATTTTGAGAGGTTAGTCAGGATCCGATTTGGAATCGTTTAAGTATTGTGGAGCGAAAAAGTCAAATTTTGCATCAGTCTAATGTACATGTAAAATGGCTCTAAATTTTTGCACCTGGAAAATACAAATGGATATTATTGGTTACTAATGAAAAATTTATCCATTAAAGCTTTGTTTTGGAATTTAAATATTTCAGAAAATTCACTTGGAATTTTCCTTAAAACTCTCTACAAATTATTTTCTAGATACCTTTGGAATTATTCTCGGAATTCACTTAAAACTCTTTGCATACTTCCTTTGGAATTATACCCTCAGAAATCGATTTCATTGAAAATTTTCAAGGATCCTGTAATGCTTTTCACATTTGTCATGGAATTTCCCGCAGAGCTAATTAAACATTTACTTTGATCTCTCAAAATTGACTTGAAGTTCTAATCAAATGACTCTTATAGTTTTTTCCCAAACTCCGTTGGAAATTTTCTCTGACATATCTTGGTGTTATCCCTAGAATTCATTCTTAAATCCATTTTTATCCTGAAAAGTCCAAGTCCAAGTCCAAGGATCTTGATCTTTATTTATTTAGATGTCCGATTTGTCATCGAAATTCACGGATTTGTCTGGCTATCGTCTAGTATGGCCATCGTCTATTACGGCAATCGTACGTATGACAAACATTCGCATGACTAATGTCCGGCCAACCATTGAAAAATCAATCAAAACACATCGAGTAAACGAGATAACGAGTAAGGAAGAGTTGAAAATATATATAAAAAAAAGTAAAGTCGTAGTATTCTATGAATGTATCATCATAACAACATCCTTTTAGAAGTTCAAATTCAACAACAACATGTGAAAAGGGCATACAAGCTTTTTAAACAAACCATCTTATGCCCTTTTCTAGCCACCCATATGATATCAACGTGAACCATCAACTTCACCAGGAACCTTTCCCCTTCCCGATTCTGTTGTTGATTTGCGTGAGTGACCCTCGATTGACGAGAAAAGGGCCTACAAAGGTTTGTTTATAAAAAAAAACTTGCCCTTTTCACATATGTCTCTTGAAATGTTCCTGAACGGAAATTCTTAAAACATCTCATTCCTCCACTGCCCCATCGCCTAGGAAAATTAATGCGCACCATCACCACGTGCGCGTTCCAACCACCCAACTGATCCACGCGGTCCACCCACCGCACACACAACAATCAACCCACTGATCTACTCACAGCTGGGCCAAGCAGAAAGACGATCTCAACTCACAGCAGATCTCAGATACCAACTACACCCGCACCAGACCATGCCCCTGCCAAGCGACCATCGCCAGGCCGGTCGACGAAGAAAGGGGAAACACCTTTCTTCTCTTCGGTGGCGACGACGACGACGACGACGAGGACGGTTCCTCTCTTCTGCTGCATGTCTCGAGCCAAAGCCTTGGAGCAGCAGCAGGGGAGATAAAGTGAACGCAAATGTTTACACTCCTCGTCCAACGGGCGGCTCTTCGGAGGTGGTTGGGATCGCGGTCGCGTGTGCCGTCGTTCGCTCGCTCGCTCTCTTCAGCAGCATCGGTGGCGGTGGCAGCCAGTAGTGAGAGTGATAGTAAACCTACCGGCAAAATCCGCACAACAGCGGTAAGAGTTCTGTTTTATTTTGTTGGTGTTGTTGTTTTCGGTGTCTGTTTCTGTTTGATCGACCGCATCCCCCCTCGAAGAGCTCGAGCTGAGCCAGATGAACCCCGGAGAAGATCGCGGGCGCGCGCGCGCGTGCACGTTTCTGGGGGGGTTGCTTCCTCGCTCTCCGCTCGCCGGAGCCAGCCACTTTCGGGAGTCCCAAACTCGGATTGGAACTTCTTCATTTCGCGCTCCATTAAGGGTAAGTTAAGGGTATAAATGCGATTACGCCGGATCGGTCCAGCATCAGTCATCTGTTTGCATTTCACGGACCAACATCATCGGACCGCTAGGTAGCGAGTCCCAACCAAATCCGCAACCGAAACGAACGAATTCGAAGATCCTTGATTTGTTTTCATTGTTGTGATCTTTTCGAAGTGAGTGAGTGAGTGTGTGTGTGCACCGAAAATAAGGAACACACGCAGAACAAGGATGAGGGCCTTTGTACTGTTGAGCTGTTGTTTGGCTCTGACTTCCGCTCGGCCGGAAGCAGGATACTCATATAACCGTCCGTCGACAGGCGGAGGCTCTCACGGAGGCGGTGGCGGCGGCGGCGGTGGCTACTCGTCCGGTGGCCACGGAGGTGGAGGCGGCGGTGGTGGCTACTCGTCCGGTGGCCACGGAGGCGGTGGCGGCGGCGGTGGTGGCGGCCACGGTGGAGCATCGTTCAGCTCCGGTGGCGGCAGTGGATTCTCGTCCTTCGGCGGCAGCGGATTCGGAGGTGTGTTAAGTGAAAATCGTTTTAAGGACTGAGAGTGAGCGAGGACACACTCGTTGGTGAAACGTTGAGTGGCTTGTTAGAATCAGTGAATGGAATTTGTGGAACAGGACTATTGGGGCAGACTGTTAATCTGTGACTTTGGAAGCAATGGTGCTGTGTGGGCGCAGTGAAATGACTCGTAGTGATTTTGGGTGTACTAATTTTCAAATTTCAATTGAAGGTCTTTGAGTGTTTGAAGCTAATGTAAATCGAGAAGTGACGTGATGACCGGTCGAGCAGCAACTGAGTTCAAAATTTAATGAGGAAGGTGAAATGGGCTCACGTTGAAGATTGGTTTCCAACAGATCAACAGCATTGTGAAGTAGAACTGACTGTTGAAGCAGTTTTAGTTGATCTGAAGTCAATTTATCTTAATGGTACTGTCAATTCAACAAACAATTTTAGCTGATGATTGTATGAGCTAATCTGCTGCTAAAATTGTTAGTTGGGAGCTCTAAACAACTCGATCTTCTATAGTGGCTTGTTCCTTCACCATGGAGTTGGGGTGAATCAAGTGTATTTCAATAATACTTTGAAAAAACTGGTTTCCCTTTATCGTTTCAAAAGTGATAGATGAGACACAAATGGCTGCTATTTTGATTCGATTTTGTGATGGCACTAATCTCAGAAACTATAAGGATTTCGTGTGCGAAACTGTAATCGCTCTTTTCCTGAACTGCCGCATACATGTGATTGCATTTTCCTGCATGAAATCTTTATAGTTTCTGAGATTCGTGCCATCAAAAATTCAAAGTGCAAGGCAAAAAATCAAATCAGCTGCCATTTGTGGATTTTATCAACACTCACCGTAAAGGGGCTACTTTTCAGAAATTGGTGGACAAGAAAACATACCTAAAGGTGGAACAGCTCTGAATCCAAGCCAAGCTACTTTACAAGTTTTATCATGGTTTTAAAGCTCTGTTCTGGTCTTCTTTTTCTTCTTCTTAGCATTTCAAGCTTATTGTTCATGGTTTATTATCTCATTGCGTGCTCTCAGCAGAGTGTTCTAGATGCACTTCCACAGATATTCATTGAGAGGTTTCGATCCTGTACCATTTTTGCATTAGTATAATTGTGTGGCAAGTACAACCATGCTCTATACCAAGGAATGTCGAGAAATTTTCCACCTCAAAAAATTCCTAGACTAGACCGGGAATCTACCCCAGCCACCTACAGGTCTTGCTTTGTAGCTACGCCTTTTCCGACCGAGCTAAGGGAGGCTCCTGTTCTCGTCTAAATCGTGGTTTTCCACAGTAGTTAATGCATACATACATGCTCAACAGAAATTGAAGCTGATTAAACGCTGAGTTACCTTCTTGTTAGCTGAATAAGCCAATTGTAGGCTGAATAATCTGCTATTCAGCTTCAAGTTTTTGTTGGAGGTTATCATCAGCAAAATTGCAGCTATCTGTGAATTCCATCAACTTGGAGTAACCTCTTGAGAACCTCAAATTTCTGATGAATAACTGTGGAGAGTCCTCATAGTTGGTGTGGCAAAGAACATCAAGCCCTTGCAGAAAAATTACTATTATTATCTTCAACTGTTAGGGGCCATGCGTAAATTATGTCACCCTCTTCTGTTTCGTCACGATTTTCCAATACCTCATGTATTGCTTGTCAAAAAATCTAACACTCCTCCTCTTCTCTTAGAGTGTGACATGAAATATGTGACCAGTGTTGGAAAAATATAAAAAAATCACGCTTGATTTTCGCAGACAAAAATCAACAAGCAAATAACTGCGGTTGATTTTGCAAGCTGTGATATCGCAGCTCGGAATATCAAGCTAACAGCTGCAAATCTCACCAAACTGTGGTGAGATTGAGTTTCATGATTTTTGCATTCCACCCGAACGCAACCGAAACTTTCATTACGGCTGGCAGCAGTTGGTTCGTATCTGCCATCGGTGAAGACAAGAAAGAGTTAGCATTATTACACCTTCTCTTTCTAAGAAAACGATGTGCAACGGAATCATTTTTGCGTCGATTCAACTCTCAGCTTCAACTTTGCACGTTGTGAATAGTCTCGCAATCTCAACGGAGCTTGTAAAATCAATGTCAAGCGGGATATTTTGCACCAATGCAATCTGACGAATTCAAACAATAGGGTTCAAGCTGCCCAACGTTTCGGCTATTTTTGGCAGCCTTCTTCAGGCCAAAACAGCGTTGCACAGTTAAAAACCTATCGTTTGAGCTCGCCAGACTTCAATAGCCAAAACTTGTACAATCCAAGTAAAAATTCTGATTTTGCGAGGGATCGGTAGACCGTGATTTAGACTTGTAGATTTTTCTAAAAATATTGGGTCAAGAGATCATAACTCTAAAAGAAATGTATTTTTTGTTTTTATTTTTCTAATGAAAATTTATGCCCAAAATTGTTTTTCTATGGCATCATGGCACAAATTTGGACCCAAGCATTTAGTTTAAAGCCCAAAATTGTTTCATGGTGAGATAGTAAACATATTTGTCCAGGTATTTTTTTTCTGGAATCAAAAGAAAGAACTGGATGATCGATATCTTTTCCCAATATTTTTAGAAAAATCAAAACGTGTCAGATTTTGTACGCTGTCAGCTACCCCTTAAACTTTGCGGACATTCGAGGGGTACGACGCATCTTAATCTAATTTTTTGATGTTCGAAAAATCTTTCACTAGTAAATCAATCTTCGAAAAATCTTTGTTCATCTCTTGCTGCTAAATCCACCTACTCGCATCGCTCTCCATTTTTTGCAGGAAATCTATAAAATCTTCATCAATCTTCTTTCTATCTACTAAGCATACGGTAACATCTTGGTAAGAATTGCCTCCTACCACCTAGGTCCGATAGCAGTGAGGTCTCTTCTCTGATTGACCTCTTTTTTTTTCTTAGCTTATTGCGTGATCTTAATTTAGTGTTCTAGATACACTGCCACAGTTATTAATTGAGAGCTTTCGATGCCTGTACTTGTTTGTCAAGTAAAATCATACTCTATGCCCAGGGAAGCCACCTCCAGCATGGTCTTGCTTTGTAGCTGCGCCTTTACCGACTGAACTAAGGGAGACCCAAAGGCTCTGATTGACTTGATTTCGATTAATAACCTCTGATAGCCACTGTGGAAGGGCCAAAAACGGCTTAGGTGGATCGATACGCCAAATCACTTATGCGCATCCACGGGACAGTACATAATCTTCTTCCAGCAATACGATCGAACAATTGGTCCAACAACGAGCCCTCTAACAGAAAGATGTCCCATTGAGCGGGGAGAAGAGCCCACCCTGTATCCACGAAATGTTAACAACAGGCAGTTGAACACTTCACTTTCCCCGTCAAAATCGCTTCAATCGGGTCCCTCCGAATCCCCAATATATTGTGGAGGGATTTTTTTGCAATTGTAGGCCAAACACATTAAAACTGTTTCTCTATTTCATGGTCTTGTCCTTCACTTTCAAGAGTTTACGATTTAGCTTTACGCCAAAGGTAGTATGTCAACTATCATAGTAATTCAAAGGCATACTACAAGTCTAAATTGTGGTCTATAGAACCCTCATAAAATCAAAATTGTTGAGCTGCCAGAACAGGCCAATTTTTGCCTGTACAAGCAGTTCTGCAGCAAAAATTGAAGATATTTGAAGTACTGAAAAGTAGTATTAATCAGCTCTCAAGTCCTGAACCTCTAAAAGAATCAAAGAATTTAGTTTGAAATGAACTCTCATCGGAACACAACTCTTTTAAGGTCTTCAGACATCTCAACTAGCAACTTTAGCACAAGAACTGCTTGTTCTAAGCTAAGTATTGTGTTCAAGAGGGCTTGAGTTCAGTGGAGGAAATTCTAGAACTTCAATTGTAATTTCGTACCCGTTGAATCGCATCGAATTAGTCTGTAGCGTTGCTCCCGACTATGGACCTACTGGAGTTCTCTGAAGTAGTGGAGTGTATTAACGCTTGGAATCCTGTGGACTACCCAAGTAACTAACAACAACTCCATTATTTGATTTGTTTTTGCAATATTAGGCTAGTAACATTTCAAGTTTTATGGTGGTTTAAAAGAATGCTACAAATCTAAATAACGGTCTACAGAACCTTCATAAAACCAAAATTGTTACCTGGGATTTGTCCAAAACGGAAATTTTTGATCTCGTTGGCAACTTGGATAATTCCTAAAAGACTGATTACTTGCCGAAAGTTTTTAGTAACCCCTTTAGAACAAGTCATGGGGATCAACATCCCAAAGATTGTCATGACCCACAACTTCTGTGCTGCAACCTGGTATGCCTTGAATGCTTAGAGCAGCTTCTTTCATACGTGTTGCAGAAATCTATGTGTTCTTGGGACTCTAAATTCCAGTGGAGAGGGACTTTAAAGGCTGTGGAGCTGCCTAACCTGATATGTGAAGTAGCTCTTTAAGTAATTGTGCCACCAATCTCTGTGAAGAAGTCTACCCAACAAATATTGCATTGCAACACGCAAAACAAATTTCTCTTACATCCAATGTAATGTCAGTTCTTGCCATGGACTGCAGCGTACAAGCAATCTCTTCCAGAATGCAGATTTTGATATAAAACCTTCACGAGATGATTTTCTACAAGTAAATCATTTGGGGAAACAAACTTTGTCCGAAAATGAAGCTAACCTATAAATTAGAAAATTATTCAAAAACCCTCCCGATGAACAAATTACAGAACCTGTTCATGTGACAAAACATTCCAAATTCTGCTTAATTTTCATGCAAATCTGTAATAGAATCTTACATTACCCGGTTGGGTGTACGCTTCTTCAGCAAAAAATTACTTATTCATCCATTATTCAGCCACTATTCAGCTCAAATTGTCCGAGGTGAAACAGCCATGCAAAACAAGAGCATCCAGGCAAAAATAATAATAATAGAATTCTAGATGATCCGACTTTCTCTTACGTTAATAACTCAGCCGCAAAAACAAACCTTGTCGTATTTGACGACGCCGGATATCAACCTTCTTTTTTCTAACTATGTGGTGAAAATAGCTCGAAATCTATTTGCATAGCGGCGGTTATCAAAAGGAAAACTCCATGAAGAGAAACAATGAATGCAAATGTTCATCTAGAATTAGCTGCAATAGAAACTGACCGCCAGTTTCGAGCTCAATTTCATCAAAAACAATCAAGAGTAATGACCTTTGGAATTCAACAAATTCAATTCTCCCATCAAACACCCAATTCGATTCTGTCAAAAGTTTTCCCATTAATGAACCACCCATGTTACTGTACTTGCCGTTCGGTTTTCAATCTAATTACAGCACACTAATGCAAAATTTTCCCATACAATGTTTCCACAATCTATGCCACGGTGCATTTTGCCTTACCAACAGAACAACAAACTAACCTCCCCCCTCCCTTCTGCGCACTTCATGCCACAGCCAATTCGCAAATCTCGTTATTATTTTGATGATTGCCTACACATCATAGAAGCCATCGCGAATTGACTACTACGTGCCCCCGTGCCAACGTGATTAGCATTTCCAACTGATTTCAAGCCACAGTTCCCCACATTACATTATGACAACCACCATGCCAGTAACTCACGTCCCCACGTATTCTTGCTCCAGGTTCATCCTCGTTCAGCTCCGGCGGAGCTAGCAGCTTCGGAGGCGGCGGCGGCGGCTTCGGAGGTGGTGTCAGCAGCTTCGGAGGCGGCGGCGGCGGCGGCTTCGGAGGAGGCGGTGTGAGTAGCTTCGGAGGCGGCGGCGGCGGCTTCTCCGGTGGATCGCAGCAGGCCATCATCCAGAAGCACATCTACGTGCACGTTCCGCCACCAGAGCCAGAGGAGGTCCGCGTCCAGCGACCACTGCAGCTAGCCCCGGCCCAGAAGCACTACAAGATCATCTTCATCAAGGCCCCATCGGCTCCGGCCTACCAGGCACCACAGATCCCACTGCAGCCCCAGAACGAAGAGAAGACCCTGGTCTACGTGTTGGTTAAGAAGCCCGACGATCAGCAGGACATCATCATCCCAACGCCAGCCCCAACTCAGCCCAGCAAACCGGAAGTCTACTTCATCAAGTACAAGACCCAGAAGGAAGGCGGCCAAGGAGGATACTCCGGAAATGTTGGCGCCAGCTTCGGTTCCGACATCAGTGGCTCTGTTGGTGGTCATGATGGTGGCGCTGGACACGGAGATGACATCAGCGGAGGACACGGAGGCTCGGCCCCGGCTGCCCAGTACGGACCACCCGGCAAGTCCGGCCCATACTAATCGAACGGAACATTCTGACCATTGAACGGATTCCGGACCACGTAGCTAGTCGAAAACAAAACAAATCAAACGCATCCAAGTGGCAGTTGACACAACCCACAAAAGCACACATACAAACACAAACACATACAATCACCTTGTTATTTGTTGACTTTCTGCCGAGGAGGTTCCGATTTGGCGCTCGATTCCCGCGGTCGCTTACTGGAGAGAGCGCGCGCCGGGAGCCGCAAACCGGAACGCCGAAGCCTCTGTTGTACATAGGATTTCTACTTCACAAAGCGAAGAAAGCAAATTTTCTTAGGACGTAGGAATTATTTTTACAACTTATTATTATTAATTGTAATCTTGTTTAATGTTTTTCTTAGAAAAGATATGCAAATTAAAACGGTGACAAATTTTTAGAAAAAAAAAATCAGCCAATCTTTGTTTTCCTGTCGTGCGTGACCCCAAGGCGAATGATGACGTAAATGAACCGCTGATTGGGATTATGCAGCCGGTGCTTAAGACAGGTGAATAAAAGTGAACTTTTACTTTTTTTTTTGTTGTTTGCGTGCCGTTACGTCGTCGTTGCGGTTGCTGGTTGCCTCGGGAGGAAAGACCAAAAAATGCAGCCTGGGATTAAACGCAGCTCTGATGTGGTGTGGATGAAAACTGGATACTTTGCGGTTGGCGGGGTTGTAGTTTGGATTGGCATCGTTCGAGGTATGAATCGGGATGATTTTTTCTGTTTTCAGTTCAGAAGGAAATAGTAATGCTGCTGACAATCGCAGCAACCAATAGGGTCTTAAAATCAACAAAAAATCTTGTTTTACCTTTGTTACTACCGTAACATAGGTATTAGAATCGATTTTCACACGTCTTGCCGTCTGTGACCGATAGCCATCCACACAAGCTATCTCACCTGTATAAAATATTCCCAGTCGATAGATCTCAGCTCGAGCTGGCTCGACAGTTTGATTACGACATCGTAGAATCAAATTGAACATGAAAAATTGGCCCGGCAAGATGAAATGTGATGATGTCTGTATCTGAGGGAGAGTCGCGAAGAGAGAAAAATGGAACGTCAAATGCAGCCAGACGGCTGCTGTCACGAACTGTCATTTGGAATTAAGCAATTTTATGATGCTTCTCTTACACTTGAACAAGAATGCACAAGGCGGTATTGAAATCTTGCGTAAAGTAATTTATGACAAATTGTCGTTTCCAGCTATTTTATTCAACGGGACACCGTTTCTTTTTAATTCATTCAAAATACACACAAATCAATATTGAAAGATACCATTAGCCAACGTTTTGTCAAAACATCTAGTGGCATAGTTAAATACCAAACAGAAAAGTACAGTTTCTCACTGCACACTGAACAATCTCAAACAATCACTACACGCTCAAAGCAAAACACGCTATTTTGCTACGCCTGTTTTGATTTGATTTCAACGGCACAAATTTTCATGACTAGAAGAACAAATATATAATGAATTCCGTGTGTGCTATCTGCTTCTCCCTCCCAGGTCTGTATGTGCGTCTGTGGACGCGTTTCATCTACACTCAACAATAACATTATACACGCATATATTAAAACTTAATCGTTTTCCAATTAAGCGATAAATAAACGATGCTTTGCATAAAAAATATACTAGAGGTTCAATAGTTTTTATACTAGAAGTGAATAAGAGAACAGAACTTTGTATGTCTCTAACTCATTAAAAAAAAAAGGACAAGAAGATGGAAGGTTGAAATCAGCATCAACAAATTGACATCAGGTTGAAATCAGCAAACAAGAAAATTGTGAATAATTAGGTTTTAGAGTGATTTATGTGTATATTAGGTGAGGAACACTTCTGCTTTTAATGGTATATCATCTCTAACAGTAATGTTTGATTTTTTTTTACAATAGAAATGGTTTTACCTTTACTCATAATGTTAGGTCGGTTCTTCTTCTTCTTATTCGCATTTCAAGCTTATTGCTTAGCGCATATTAGCTTATTGCGTGCTCTCAACTTAGTGTTCTAAATGCACTTCCACAATTGTTAATTGAGAGCTTTCATCATCATCAGCATTAGTAGTAGAATTGGAGGCTGTTTGAAGAATTAAACCCAGTCCTTCTGCGTGAGAGCCCAAGCACGAACCGCTGCGTCATTTGAGATATAATAAAGTGAGCTGTTATCCCGCCTACTGTTGGAGTTTTCAGTGCCAGCTGACTGACTTGAATACGAAACACAACACCTTGATGAATTTTAAATTGGTGTTTGCCCGCATGGTATTCCAACACACTTGTGACGCAGTGGTTAGCAATCGTAGATCGCATGCCGAATACACGGGTTCGAATCCAGGAAAATACCCTTTATTTTTTTTGTTTGGATAGAATGTTGATGCACTGCATAAATTTAAGAATTATGATTTATTCGGGCCAATGATCATTTCATATTCACGTACATTAAGTTTTGTTACTAATATTGACTTGTGCGGATTGCTTCATGTGGCTTGAAAGTTCTGTCGGAACTTTATTTGAACTTTATGGAACTTGAAGGTTCGGTCGGAACTTTATTTGAAATTTACGGAACTTGGAAGTAATTTTAATCGTTGAATGCGGAACTTTTGGTTACTTGGGCTGTGTCTTGGGTTGTTTCAAATGATATAGACCATCGTTCCGTTCACCCAATAACACAGCTTCTTCTCTTTTTAGCACAGATGCTTTGTGAAGCTTGTCAAATAACACTTGAAACACCAAATCAGTTATTCGGCTCACCGACAAAAAGTTGCCGTGATTCACAGAAACAGCCAACCCGGAACAAGCACCAGCGATTTACTATTAGCCAGACAAAAGAATGTTCATTTTGACCTATTTTGCTCTTTTAGAATGTTGGTGTTATTCTTGATGTGATAAGTTGCGCCTGAAGCAAGATACCACGCTTCATCTTCCCCAGCTACCTCAGCAGTAAAGCACATCTCTCCTCCAAACTCCAATTTTACAACAATTTTCAATCTCGCAAAATGTCATTTTTTGCAGCTATGACAGTTTTTCATTGTTATAGGCTTCTTTTTCAAGGAACCGAAGAAATTCCTCACTGAGCAACGCGTTCGCTGTCTTCCTTAGTCCAGCAAGTATCCATTGGAAAAATTGACCGAAAAAATTTACATCTGGTCGACTTTTGAGTGCCATTAAATATCAATCTGCCGTCGTTATGCGGTTCGAATGTTTCGTGAAGAGTCTTTGCGAATGAAAGAATCCATACAGTTACGAACCTTTTGACAATCATTCAAATTGCGAAGCAAGTAACGTGAGAATGAATCAATGGATGAACATAAAATTCAATGAACGCTGTCAACCTTTATATGTTTACGTTCTATCTTCTCCTGTTGCGTGAACGCTAAACCCTCCACAGGCAGGGTTGCGGAGATTGTTTATCACAGCAGAAAAATGTTCATTGGTGATTTCAAATTGAACGTTACGTAAATGATCTTTTACATGCCTGCCTCTGATAAAATTTTTAAAAGAGCTCATAGAGTTCTAAAAATTTCTGTGGATGGACTTTTTCGCAACTGTACAAAGTTTAAATACAGCTTTTGGATTCCATAAATGAAAAGTGGGTATTAGTTTGGCATTGAACCTGATGATAATGATGATGATGGTCCCACCTCTTACCCCTTCAAAGTTTGAGCTGGACGATTTATCTTTAAGATAATTAAATATGAAATGATGAAGTAATGAAATTGGGTTGTAAGTGGAATGCTAAATAAAACAGCAAAAAAAGGTTATCTTCCACCTCTTAGCTCGCCTTTTTGTCCACCTGAAATTTTCATAAGTTTTAAGCAATCAAGAGTTAATGAACAATCAACAAAGCATCCTATTACACTAGTAACCCCGCAATCTGATGCTTTAATAATTTTCAGCAATGTCAGGAATGCTCACGAACCCCCAACATTTGCCAGAAAACTTACTACTAACTCAAGGTATCTTCCAAATAAGCTTCAAAATTGCATTTTTTTTTTTATCAAATGTTAAATTCAGTTCTCTATATCCGTAATACGTGCACGAGGCTCAAACCTTTGTAGACTACTTTCATTTGACGTAGGACTACGTCTTTGATTTCTATATGGGGGTACACTTTGTGAAAACCGAAAATGGAACATGTAACAAATTAAGAAAGATTTTTAACGTTAATAACTCAGCTGCCTCTGGTCCAATTTCAATAATTTTATCACTAATCGATCAGAAATATGGCTACGCATCGATAACAATGCTTCCGAATGTTGATTTTCAACAAAAAACTATTGAAAAACTGGTAAATGTCCAGCATTGTCCAAAAGCGTTGAATTATTTTTTTTTTTCTTTATTAAAGAGACTTTCAGCCTTGGGCTGGTTCGTCTCTGCGTTGAATTAATTAACAAATCCACCAATTACCTACATGCATATGCTGCTTCCCCAGCACAGTCGTCAGAGAGTAGTAAGTAGACAAAACAAGTCGAAGTGGCATTCGCCTCCGATCCTCGGGCGCGTGCGAATAGGGAGGATGGAATTGCGTAATATTTCACACACTCATCGCCATATTCAGAACCAAACGCAAATTCTTCGAGATAACCACCATCCGTCGTCTGGCTCGCCATGGCGGTGTCTGACGTATCTCCGGTCTGATTTACGAGGTGTGCTGAAGGTGTTCCTGAAAAATGAGTTCCGTGATGCTGTCACCTGCACTAAACACGCCAAGCGTAAGCGGCCATGGATGTAATTTACGTTTTGATGTGACAGAGACGCGCTCTATTTGGTTTCGGAGGTTAAATCATCACCAACTTTGGCAATAAAACGGCTCTTTTCAGGGCCACCAAGCTTATTACAGTAAAGAGTAGGAATAGAATTCATCTGCCTGTTTGTCCATATTCAGAACCACCGACCACACAAAATGCTCATGTAATCAAACTGGAAGCAGGGGTACAAATTATTTTGATCTACCTTGATCAACTTTGAATCGCCACGGCCGGATATTTTCGATGGAAGAAGCAACAATCTTTCATCTAATACGACGAAGACGGCAGGACACATTTGTGAAGCCAAATTATTTACGAAAGAGAGTGTCGATGAAGAGAATCGATCAATGTAGATAGGACCTATTGAAAAGTGACGCAATATTTGTTTTTCGTACTGAGCTCCAATACTACCGACGCCAGGGAGGCAGCTCCCACACCTGGACCCTACCAATCCACCAATCAACTCAACCGGGGATCAACGGCTTTACTTCCCGAAGGAAGGCGTGATCAGAGATGTTATGCCTTAGAACATGCCGGTGGCGCCGACTGAGATTGGACCCAAGCCTGCTGGGTGAGAGGTAAGCACGCTAACCACCGGCGCCGATATCTTTCAAGGTGATATCACGGCGAATGAGATCGACCCAAATTTGAGTTTAGTTATCTCAGAAA